GTGTGTGTGTGTGTGTGTGTGTGTGTGTGTGTGTGAGTTGCAGGGTTGTGTAGATTTGTCAGCATTTTTGACCGCTGCCTTGTAACCAGCTCAGACGCTGTTGTTGTCACTGTGGTGTTGGCGTCTGGTTTGTTTGGATTGGCACTGTAGACAGAGACAGGAATAGAACTGGCGTGGACCGAGAACCAGAGAGAAACCGGCTGTTTTGGAATCGCATACTAGCATACTACTCATTCTGTTTCTGCAGTATGCATACTGCTTATAGCTTTATAATCATAGAATACTTTGATAAACCTACATGAACAACTATATTTCCAGAGACAATTCGATATGAAGTAAAATCAGCTCCAATTTTTAACATCTCTTTCCTGACTTATTAACTGCACTAACAAACATTATTAAGACTATTTTTTTTAAAATGCAATGATGTAAAATGTCTGCAGTCATTGAACTATTCATGCATATGTATAAACAATAACATACTACTGTTTGAAACATTAGGCAAGCTTGCTATTTTGCATATATTAAAAAATGATGTGCAGTAATGCATTATACAGTATACTCTGCTGTATACATTATGCAGTATGTTTCTAAATGGTTCAAACAGTAGTATGCTACATTGTCACATGATCTCATTATGTTGCATCATGTGTAAGTCTGCAAGTGGCATCCTGTTATCTTGACAATAAATACAATTACTAGCATTTTTACTTCAAACTTTCAGCCATCCAATCAAAAAATGAGTTAAGAAGGAGATGATAAAAAATGACTGCTAATACTGTTTGGACTTATTTGTCACTTTAGAAATAGAAAGTCAAGTTTAGTTATTATTAGATATGTGACCCTGGACCACAAAACCAGTCTTAAGTGTCAATTTTTCAAAATTGAGATTTATACATCACAGCTTTTTTAGCTATTGCTACAAATATACCCCAGCGACTTAAGACTGCTTTTGTGCTCCAGGGTCACAAATATACACTAGACTACTGGTCAAACGTTTGGGAGAACTGGAATTTTTTAATTGCAATAACATTTCACAATATTACTGTTTTTTACTGTGCTTTTGATCAAATAAATGCAGTCTTGGTGAGCAGAAGATACTTTTTTTTCAAAAATATTTAAAAATCTTAATTATTCCAAACTTTTGACCGCCTGTGCATATGCACAGTATTTTGTGCATTCCATACAGAAAAAGAGGAATGTGATAGTATGCTGTTCCAAATGGAGAAAACAAGTGAGCCCTAGTGATGGTTACTGAGAGATGCTACAGCACTGATGCTGATCCATTCAGATCACAGCCGCAACATCACTCGCATTTACACAACCACTGGATGCTTCTCTATTTAAAAATATGGCAAATTATGTCCGGGATGTTTCTAGGGAACATCATTTGCTCTATTTCAGCTTGTTCTGTCATGGATGTTTCTCTTTTTTTTTTGGAAGAATTTCAAGCACACTTTATAGTGTTTCCAGTATAAGACATGAGGTTTAATTTACTCAGCCAAGACTTCACAGAAAGGTTTTTGAGAAAATATATGTCAGTATTTAATCTGAAATATATTTGACATTAAATACCAACATATATTCAATGAAGTGGCGTACAAACTTTCTTTTCTATTCTATTAAATTATAAAAATTATGAAACTCTAAAGCAATGACTACTGAGGTACAAAATGTGTTTTCTCCAATTTACTAAAGATTATGTTTGTTCAATAAAGATTAATATGTAACATTATATTTTTAATAATTTAATGTATGTATTTAATTATTATTATTATTATTAGTCCTGCTTCCATTATCTTAGTACACATTTTTCCTTTGCCTAATATATATTATCATTATATTATTTCAAAAGTTATGTATGTTTAATATTTACAGTATATATTTTTATATTAAATGTTATATTTTTATTTTAATAGTATATATTTTATTATTATTATTATTATTATTTACTCCTGTTTCTATTTTCTCACAAATTGTTCGGTTTTTTTTTCATCTTTAACGTCAAATGCAAAAGCAGTGTCTCAGTATTTATGATATGTATATTGACAAATCTAGCATTCACTTTGATTAATGAATGAATTGTGAGTATAGGCTGGTTTCACACTTGTCAGCTAAACATCTTAATCGATATAAATGATTACGTTTAGATGGATGGGTGAGGTTAGAGTGAGTGAGTGATCCTGTAGTGTCATCCTTTTGATAAAATAAGAAGAAGAAAATCATCATTATTTTCAGAAGATTCTAGTGATCATCTGGTCAAACTAATGGCAGGTGAAGTTTCGTCTCGTGTCAGTGAGTTATTATTTTAAAAGAAGGCTCAGTCTTTCTGCTTTGCGAGCAGATGTGTAATTCAGCTGCAAATCCCTAATTCAGAAAACAAAAAAAGATGTGCATGCGATAGTGAATACAAAAGCACAACAGACAGCATCAAAACAAATGACAGTTACCGTCTCATGACAGTGGCCCCAGGACAGGGCTGTAATTTCATTATTGCTTTAGTTTCTTTTGAAACCAGTGAGCTAATAAGGATCTTTTTTTTTTCTTTTGGTCTCACATGAAAACTATAATGCAGAAGGCAGTAGGCTTGCTGTGATAGACAGTGTTTTCGGTTATACCGGTGTTAAGCCGCAACACCGGTTACGTCATTTGCCCACCGCGACACCGCCCCCCCACCGTCGTTTAGATTTTTTATAGTAACAAGTTTAGCCTAGTTCAGTTAGAGGACAGACACTTTTAAAAACTAAACGTGCCAAACCCTGCGCGAACGACAGTGCACCACAGAGCAGGAGTCAGATTTTATTTATCACGTGAGGAGAGTGAGTCGAGCTGACTGACAATGCCGTGCCTCCCAGCTTTCTTATTCGTTTTGCTAATAAACGTTCTATGTTTCTTATTTATTTGGTTCCACAGTGTTTGCTGATTTTCAGTTTATATACCTATTTAAACTTTGTGTAGGATAAGTAATTTGTCATTTTATTGGGCATAGGCCTATATGGTGTATTTTTATTCGTTTTGTTAATAAAAGTTCTGAGTTTGACGTTGTTGTTGCTTGAATTGAATCAACGCTGAATTGCCCCTAATTTGAAAGTGAAAGTAAAACGTGCACGGCGCTTTTTCAAGCTATTTGAAAGCCAAGAAATCCGAGGAAAAGAGGGAAAACTCAAACGAACAATTGCTTGACGCCGAATTGCGGCAATTCAATTGCCACTAATTTGAAAGTGAAAGTAAAATGCGCACCGCACTTTTACAAGCCATTTGGAAGCGAAGAATAGAGGGAAACTCAAACGAACTAACACCCCCACCCCAACGGTGATACCGGTATTACCGGTGTTGTCACACGTCGATTAACCGGTGGGAAGTCACAACCCTAGAAGGCAGGTGAATCAAAATGACATGAGCTGGAAAGTTAGGTCCTCAAGGCAATCATTTTTACATAAATGTTTACGTCACTAATATTTATGTTTTGTTTCATTTTAGGAAAATGACATCCAGTACTATGACTCCAAAGCCAACTCGGATGTTGTAAGTGGCCGATATTTTTATTTGTTTTGTACTGTTTCAAATGAAAACTCTTTGTTTTTGTGCGCTGTTATCAGGAGTAGTTTCTTGTCTGTTTTTTATTTAATAGCTGTAGAGGTTTTGCCTAAATCTTTTTCCTCTGATCATGAAGTGTGTCGTCACATCAGGAAAAAATTAGAGTTAGGCCACAAATAGCTCGTAACATTATTTTGTATATATAGTATGTTTGTACTAGTGTACTAAGGAATTACTTTATTATTATTTCAAAAGTTATGTGTTTAATATTGATTAACATTATATATTTATATTCTATAATATTTTAATAATATTTATGTATTTATTCAATGTTATGTATTATTATAATTATTTTTATTATATGAAAGGTAATCATAAAATGTTTTATAAAAAAGTAAAAAGTTTGTTTATACTAATCTACTAAGGAAGTATTTTGAATTAATCTGTTATTATTTTTATTTGTTTATTTACTGTTGTTATTATTATGATTTCTATAAAACTATATAAAAAATAATGCTAAATGCAGTTTTGTTGCTAGTAAAAATATTTATATATTTATATATTTTTATTACATATTTGACAATAGGCTTGTTTAGTTTCCTTGCATAAATCATTGTGTCAATTTAAAGCTTGTCAATGAGTTTGATTTTCGGAGAAACGTGAGACGATGTTGATACTTAAGTCTCCAAAGAGCAACCTTTGAGCAACTAAGTTCTCCTCTGGGACACAAATATACACGTCACCGTATTTTTATGTATCATATACTCAGTAACAACCTTTTCATTGTATAAGTGAAAGGTCACGGTGACTCTTTTCTGCGGCTGATTGATTTCACATGCTGGAGAAGGACGCGGTTATATCAGGCTGGATGAGTAGATGAGGAATGGAGGTACAATGAGAGAGAGGAGGAATAGTAGAGCCAGAGAAGTCATAAATCAGAGAGTGATTTTGTGCGGTAGAAGCACGGCAGGCGTGTGTGATTAATGATTGGGCGCTTTAGGGGCCGTCAACGTCTCTAATTGGAGCACATCGCTCATCATTAAAGGGGCCAAGGGAACGGCAGCCCACCGACACCCTCGTGACCCCTGCCGGCTCGAGAAATGCAGGGTCAGAAAGTGTGCTGAGCTCGATTCCTTCATATCCACGACTGCAGTCACACACCTACACATCTCCAGAAGCACTCTGAACCAATAGCAGTACAGCTTCTACTGTATTAATGCCATTATTTATCAGTTGTGCAACTTCAGAAACATACATTTTTTTTGAGGTTTTATAGTTTGGTTTTATTATATTTATAATTAATTAGATTAATTAAATATGTTTAATAACATTGCAGTTAACATATTTACCTTATTTATCAACATAATAGTTTCTGGGTGATTTCTAAAGACTATCAGGAATCATTACTTTTATTTGTTTCAATAATAAACAAATTTGTTTGCCATTGTTCATTACATTTTGTCCAGTTGTCAGAGGATTGGCAAAGATGATGATGATGATGATGATTATTATTATTATTATTATTATTATTATTAGTATTATTATTAACAAATAATAATAATAATGTTTATTTATGTATTTGTTAGTATTAGTTTTATTACATTTATTACTATAAATAATAATAATATAAAAGACAAATAGTAATAAAAATAATAAAACTTTATTATTATTATTATTATTATTATTAGTATCATTATTATTATTCATTCAATTTTGTCCAGCAAAAAAATATTTATTTATTTATTTATTTATTTAATTTTAGTACTTTTAATACATTAATAATAATAATAATAATAATAATAATTCATTTTTATTATTTTTATTACTATTTGTATCTGAATTTGTACATATGTAAAAGTGTTTACATTTTCAATATATTGATATTGTTTCAAATGTAAAGGCTTCACTTATGAATATCTATGAGTACGAATGCAATAACAACAGAGGAGTTGCCGTTGCAAGAAGTGTTTTAGTCGAAAAAGTCAGACAAAAGCTGTTTGGTTTTTTTCTGACTGGCAGTGGAAATCAGGTCCATCAGCTCAAACTGAGCTTTCTCTTTTTATCATCACAGTCTTCTCCATCTATTTCGTCTCTGTTGTCTCGCTCGGCAAACTGTGGCACGGTGCCATTCCATTCCCTCCCACTCTCCTCCTCTTCCATGCTGTTTTGCGATGCCCTTTGGAGCTTTGCTCTCCTCCACCTACAGCAGGAAAGCTCGTTTTCCTGCCCTGGAAGTTGTGATCTTCAGTCCTGTCTCCATCACGAGCCGTGTGTGTGTGTGTGCGTGTGTGTGCATGTGCGTGTGTGTTTGTGTGTGCGTGTGAGATCTTCCTCAGACCCACCGAGGAAACCTTTGGCTTGATGTGTCGATGTGTCGTTGAGATGTGCTTCAGATACTTTGCAACAGGAAAATGCAAAGAAAAAAAAAGTGCAAAAAAAATCTACAGTACTTTTAAAGATCCAGATGGTAAACTGATGTCTAAAAGAGTTCAAAACCAAAGAAAATAAATTGTAAATTAAAATTCGTAGTACACCATCATAATCCAGATGGTGCAATGGCTTCATCTTTAATTGATTACGTCGCCATTGAACACACAAAGTTATTTACATTAAAACACCAACATCTGCCTGCTGGATGTCAGTTGCCAAGCGCTCTGATGTACAAGTAACAGATTAGAGGTTCACTAATGCCATGTACATGCTAGAGGAGAGACAATTCATCTAAGTGAATACAGATTTAGATATAGCATAGATGTTTTGTGTTTTTTCTTCTGTTGCAGTCTCTCTAGCACAACATGTGTATGTTTTGAATTTAACCTACTACAATTAGTGTACTGTAGCATAATATGACATACTTCCATACATGCTATTTTTGCAGTATGTGAATTTATGTCTGTAGACCAGGGTTTATGCAGGTCTTTAAAAGGACTTAATTCGCCCTTCCACAAATTAAGGCATTAAAAAGGTCTTAAATTCATAAAGTTTTGGCATTAAATGTTGCATGAAATAAAAATTATTTCTCGGTGGTTGTCTTTTTGTAACCAATAGAAATATGTAAACATCTTTATATCAAGATACTTTTAGTCGAGATGTGAAATGAAGATATGACATCTTGTTTTATGAGAATTTCAGCCAAATTAAGTGAGTTTATGCTTAAAACATGAACAAATATCTGTCAGTGGGATATGAAAACTTGTTTTCTCTTTAAATTGAGTTGATTTTTCTGAGCCCATTGGCAGTTATTTGTCATAAGCTCACTTAATTTTGATAAATAAATTAAAAAACTACTTCTTAGCTTACTTAATTTTGCTTCTCAATCTTGATTTAAGAATCTTGAAACATTTGTACTTGAAAACAAGACAAAAATATCACTTTTTGGCAGGTACAGTAGATGTTATGGTTTTTCCCATATTCTGATGGTTGGGAGCAGAGAACACGTGACGGTGTGGCATGAAACTGTTTGAAATATTTAATGTTGCATTATGCATACAGCTTCACATACTAGATTTAAATAGTAAGAAGACCTGCTCTTTGTGCAGGGTTTAGAAAATGATGCCATTTTTGTTTCTAACACTCATCATTAGGGTTATTATGTTGCTAAATTTGGAGTGTGACACTAGCACACTAAAACTCAGAAGGCAAAAGTGGAAGCAGCGTGTCATTTTGTTTGTGATTAAAATTAACCCTTGAAAGATAAAGGTGCGATTGAGAGAGTCCTCAAAATGTAATTTTTGGCTCTCTCAACCTTTAATTAAACCTTCAAAACAACGTGATAAAATTAACAAATGAGGTAATGAATAGAGTTAACCAGGTGGTGTATGAACGGGGAAAATTAACCAATCACTCCGTCCTGTGTGGATTTTGAGCTAATAATTAGAAGCTGTCTTGAGTAATTATGACTGGCCTCGTCTGATGGTAAAAAACACTCGAGTGAAGGATAGTCAGGTGGAAGAATAAACAAATAAAGGACATCGAGCTGAGATCCCCTCAAAGACGACTTTTCCAAATCAGTTACCTGAAACGTGTCTAAACAAGCTGAAAATGGGGTGTAATTGTGTGTGCCGGTGATGTGCTGCCTTGAAAAACACAGAAATGTTTGTTATCAGGGTGGTGCGGTCATTTATAGCTTTCCTTCAGTTTAATATCTCAGTTTAACAAGCAGACTGCTGGAATGATTTTATGCATCAGATCAAAATTGACTTTTATGTACATCCTTTATAAATGTTCGTAGATTTATTATAAATGATTCATCCGTGCATTAAAGAAATTCACTGTTTGTTTTTATATTAGCATCTTTTCTTCTTTGCTTTTTCTTTTTATATATATATATATATATATATATACTGTTGCACTCTGAAATATCACCTTAATTAAATAAAATGTATTGAAAATGTCATTTTCATATTGGCTTTGTTCAGAAGAGCATGCTAGCATATTACTATTTCTGCAGTATGCAGTATGTAGATTGAATGCCATGAAAATGCAACATGACCTTCTGCATTTGCCAGAATATGCAGTGCAAAACTACTGAATACTGTATCCCTCAATGCAGTGTCCTCCACTTGACCTTCCATTCCCAGTGTGACTAAAGAACCGTAAGTAATATCAGCCACCATTTATAACATCATCTTGACTCATCGTTTGATCCGAATGCCAAAAGTTAAGACATTTTTACACAAAATTGAATTGAAAATATGAAATCTGTTTTATATTAACCTTTGTTTATTTCACCGACTATTACTTTACACCACTACGGATTAAACATGCAAAATAGTGAAGTCATGTGACAAGTGTTGCACACTACTGTTTTCAACATTTATTATTGCATATTGCATACTATTTCATGTACTAATTTTGAAAACAGCATTACCCACCAGTAATGTATAATGAACACAGCTGCTGTATTTAAAGGAATAGTTTACACAAAAATGAAAATTTGCTAAAAATGTACTCATCTTCAGGCCATCTAAGATGTAGATGAGTTTATTTTATAATTGGAACAGATTTGGAGAAATTTTGCATCACATCAATTGCTCACCAGTGGATCCTCTTTAGTGAATGGGTGCCGTCAGAATGAGAGTCCAAACAGCTGAGAAAAACATCACAATAATCCACAAGTAATCCACACCACTCCAGTCCATCAATTAACCTTTTGTGAAGTGAAAAGCTGTGTGTTTGTAAGAAACAAATCCATCATTAGGGCATTTTAACTTTTATTAAAAGTTTTATTAAAACTTTTAATTTAACTGTTGCTTCTGGCCAAAATACCAGTCCATAATGCATAATTATGCTTCCTCCAGTGAAAAAGTCCATCTCCTGTTGATCTTTCACATCATAATCCACCAAGATATTTGTTTAGATCTGTTTTAGACTGTTTTTGCTTGTAAATGGAGCTTGATCTGTGCTTTCTCTCCTGATTCAGATGACTTTTTTCACTGGAGGAAGTGATATTATGGATTATAGACTCTTATTTTAGCTGGAAGCAATGGTTTAAAGTTAAACCACCTTAATGATGGATTTGTTTCTTACAAACATGCGGCTTTTCACTTCACAAGATGTTAACTGATGGACTGGAGTGGTGTGGATTACTTGTGGATTATTGTGATGTTTTTATCAGCTGTTTGGACTCTCATTCTGACGGCACCCATTCACTGCAGAGGATCCACTGGTGAGCAAGTGATGAAATGCAAAATTTCTCCAAATCTGTTCTGATGAAGACACAAACTCATCTATATTTTGGATGGCCTGAAGATAAGTATCAATATTTGAAAACTACTTTTTAAATAAGTGGTTAATCCTGTTAGTTCAGGTTAGCTGATCCAGGTCCGGGTTTCGTCTTTAAACATGACCTACTAAAGATTTCTGATTATTAATGCTCCAAATCATGTATGAAACTGGAGCCAAAACATTATTACCTAGAGTCAGATATGAGCTAGTCAAGAGTAAAGTCAATGCACCGTGTCATTTAAAATTATTTGCAAGGAAAACCGAAAGAAATCCCAAAAGGTTTTTCCATTTCCAAGAGGTTATTTGAGTTCTATATGTGTGTCTGTCTGCGTGTTCATGTCACATTGAGGGGAATTGGAAAACCACCGTCTCCATGTTCAGCTCAACAACAGTTTATAATTGCATTTTAATAGACAATTAAAGGCAGGCCATAAATCAGCCCTCACACTTGGCAGGAGGCTTGAATTTAATTTTGAGGAAAAAACAAAACAAAAAAAAACAAGCAGTGTTTGCTATGTCAACCCCAATTAACTCCTGCCACTCTATTACTGTACACCACACTTCACCCTGCCATGAAGGCAAGGGTGTTTGATTGTGAGATGAAGAATCAAAGACAAAGAGAAAGATTAATGAACCACAGTGAGTGGAAAATGATTGAATAATGATTATTGAAGAAAAGGTCAGACGACAAAATTTGCCATATTCTTAATTATTTTGCATGTTTAATCCAGTTTTGTGTAAAATTGTCTTGTGCTTGAAACAATGAAAGGGATATGAATCATGATTATCATTTCAGGTTTGTTTATCACACTGAAAATTATCAAGTTGAGCGCATTGCATTGTGGGATACTGGTTGTATCTTGCACATTTTTGCAAATGTAGTTTTTTTTTTTTGAATGATTTCTGAAGGATCATGTGACACTGAAGACTGGAGTAATGATGCTGAAAATTCAGCTTTGCATTACAGGAATAACTTACTTTTTTAAATAGAAAACATTTATTTTAGGTTATAATATTTTACAATATTACACTTTTCACTGTGTTTTTGATCAAATAAATGCAACTTTGGTGAGCAGAAGAGACTTATTTCACGAATTATTCCAAACTTTTGTCCGGCATTGTACATAGTATACATAGTGAAAAAATAGTATGGAAGTGCAGCATTCCAACTAAATGCAATTATCATCCAGTTTATGCATAGACTCAATTCTTATGCTTAGCATACAAGAATGAGGTATTTAATAAATGCAAACCATTAAAATCCTGTGATCCTGCCATTTTGATTTATTTTTTTGCTGGCTTGATACTTTCACTCACTGAAGTTCTTTCAAAGCCAGACTTTGAGTCAAATTTTGATTCAAGATGCATTAAAATGCCAATTAGCTGCCTGTGTGGCGGACTGAAGTCGAGTGTTGAGCGGTCGTCATTCGTCAATCACTGTGGTGATTTATTGGCATGGTTAATCGCCTGAAGGACTTCAGTGCGAATGTGATAGCCATCGCCAACGCTAATTGATTTTCTGCAATTTGCGAACACTTTGATACCTGCTGTTGTATTGTGTCGTGGATGAATAGACTGGCGATGTATTACGGCTTTTCCTCCAAAGAGCCGTCACCTTTGAGTTGTGGAGGCATGATTACCCCTGTCATGTCAGTGTAATTAGTGTTTGTCTAATTAATCATGGATGCGTGTGTGTGTGTGTGTCTAAATTATTTTTTGGTTTGCTGTGTGTCAATCAATGCATTCGCTGTGTGTGTGTGTGTGTGTGTGTGTGTGTGTGTGTGTGTGCTGATGTTTCTCTGCTTCTTCTTGTTGCAGCCGGATGATGTTGATGGAGAAAACCTCTTGGGAAATCCAAACTCTCTTTCTTTGGAGTTTGTGGATGATCCCAACTTCAAGAATAAAGTCAACTACTCATATACAGCCGTACAGATTCCTACTGACATCTACAAAGGCTGTGAGTACTGACAACAAACACATGCACTACTGTTCAAAAGCTTGGCAACAGTAGCTTTTTTTTTTTGTGAAAGAAATCAATACTTCTTTAAGCAAGGATGCATTAAAGTGACAGTAAAGACATTTATTATGTTGCTAAATATTTCTGTTTCAAATAAATGCAGTTCTTTTGAACTTCCTATTCATCAAAGAATCTGAAAATAAAAGTGCATCATGGTTTCCACAAAAAAACATTAAGCAACAAACTTTTCAGCATTGATAATAATCAGAAATGTTTCTTGAGCAGCAAATCAGCATTGAATGATTTCTGAAGGATCATGTAACACTGAAGACTGGAGTAATGATGCTGAAAATTCAGCTTTGATCACAGCAATAAATTATGTTAACACTTTATTTTAAGGTGTCCTTGTTACACATGTTACATGTACTTACTATTATAATAACAATTAATTATGCATAATTACATGCAAGTAACCCTACAGTAAGCCAAACCCAAATCCTAAACCTAACCATATAGTAAGTACATGTAGTTAATTAATATTACTCAGTACTTATATGTATAATTACACCGTAACAAGGACACCTTAAAATAAAGTGTAACCTAAATTATATTTTAAAATATATTCAAATAAAAAACAGTTATTTTAAATGGTAATAATATTTCACAATATTACTGTTTTTCTGTATGAAAACGGTTCTTTCCTCAAAAATTAACAAAAAAGTACTTAAAATCAATAATATTACTGGACTGCATTGGCTCAACAATTTGCTAAATTGAATGGGAAAATTTACTATTTTTATGTTGTCTTGCATTTTGTATTGTGTTATTCTCACATTTTACCTTGCATACTTTTACTGATGGTTTTTGAGGATAAGAGCAAGTCGCATAACCTGTTCATGTTGACATCTGTCTACTTCGACTAACTTGTGAAGGATTAATTTGCAGTTTGTTTGGACACATTCCCTTTAACATCCACACAGGATCTGATTAATAAGTCTATTTTGTTTATTATGCATGATAACATTGTTAGTTGCATTTTACAGTAGTAATTGCATTGCATTGTTTTTTTCCCTATTCTATCAAATCAAACCTGTGACCAGTGGGTCGTGAATCACCCGTTGAGAACTTCTGATCTAAATGACCTAGTTTTGGTTAAGTCAGAACTGTAATTAAATATAAATCAACTTCATTTTTAAAGATCAGATACAACTTCTTATATACATTTTCTTTTATTAGCTGTGTCTAATGATCACTGGCTGTGTTGCTGTACTGTTTAGTAGGATTTATTTGGATGTGAACCATGTTTGACCTCTTTCCTCGTGGGAAAGTGTTACTGAAGCATTTTCATCTCTCATTTTAAGCCGAGCGGTTTGTGTGCATGATGTGATATCTGTCTGTCTGATGTCTGTGGAGGATTTTACAACTGAAGTATTGTACCTCTGATAAAATCTCCTGGGAATCCCTTGAGCGGTCCTTCGAAATGATAGCAAGATTCAACGTGCATGTTCTTAAAGGCACACAGAACGGTCTAATGACAGACAATTTTAAACTACACATGCATATAAACTAGATTTTAAGAGTACAGCTTTAGGAGAAAAATGTTCACTCTTTTGGTGTTTAGAAAGTGTTTCTGCGTTGCTCGGTGATTTGTTAGTGTGTTGACTAGGACGGATGTTTGTAAAATGTCCTGAGTGGCTCCTTCATCTGTCTGTGGATGTTTGTGGGCTTATGGGTAATGGATGATTGTTGGAAGATGGATGCTGGCAGAGTGTGATCAAACATTTGGATGCTGCTACCTTTGCTCTGCTCTAATACATACCCATCAAATGTCACTCTATAGAGGGTCTCTGGGAGTCTCTTTGATGCATAACACGGACGTTTCTCTGACTGAGAACAATAACACCGGTTATTTGAGATGGATATGTAAACTGTGAACAACATACTGTATATTTCAACTGTGTTCTAGATGACTGTTTACTTTAAAAACAAGCAAATTATTGCATAAATAGAAGTAAAACACATTGGATCCGTGGCCTAGTGGTTTACACACATACTGTACATTTATTTTTATTTGATTCTATTTTGTTATTTTATTTTATTATATGTTATTTTTATTAGGGGCACATTTGGACCAGGAGCCAATTTATTTATTTATTTATTTTATTTATTTTTTTTCTATGTGTGTATATGGGGTTATTGTTATTGTGAACTAAAACTAAATGTGAAATACAAACATTTAAAAAATCTTTACTTGAAATAAATTAAACATTAACTGAAATAAAATAAAATAAAAAAAATTATAAAATACAATAT